AGATGAATGTAAAAATGGCTCCATTACACCACTTTCATCCTCTTGTTCATTAGGTTAGCATAAGGTTACAATACATTACACCGCTCCCAATGTTCTGCACACAAATTGCACGTGTCACTGAGGGCTTGTGTGTTAGTGTGCTATGATAATATTCACTCATGTACACACAAACACGTTACTGTACCTGCTTCACCTTAACCCTTAACTGAACCTCAGCATAATACTCCGACTAAATCTGACTTGTTCGCAGTCAGAAATCCTTCATTTAGGCGAAATGTACTGCATTACAGCAGCAAAGGTAGTGTAGATTAAATACAAATAATAACAAAATATATTAAAATTAGTCAACATGTAAACAAGTAAATATATAAAACATAATAGTAGTTATTATACATATCACAATTGCAATGGTTTTGGACTACGATATGTGTGATTTACAGCCCTAAACACGAGAGGAATCGAATCTTTTGTGCATATTTTCATTAACTGTGGATGTCCAAAATGCGCCCCATTCGCCCCTTTTGTTATTCCGTCTCTGTCTCCTCACCTCTGCCCATCCCTCACCTCCCTCCCTCTTTTATTTCTCCCCATTTCTGCACCCCTGTCAAGTGCTTTGTTTGCTGTGACTTTCCATGCGGTTATCTGAGCGGAGACAGTATGCCTCACCCTGGCACAGGACCTCAGTTTCCACGGCAACTTTATAATTGTTTTGGATGCGTTCCAGACGCCACTGGATACCGAGGCATTATTGATGTCAAAAGAAACATGTATGAAATGAGGAGATGTGGAGGCGTCCATATGGTTCTGTACACAGCCTCATGCAAAGCCATTTACCCGTTTTTCAATGGGAGTTTTGTGATAGCGCTGAATAGATCCCACATGTGTCGCATGATATTTCATAATTTTGATCTTTCTGTTTCACAAAGGGATAATGGCACGCAATACAAGCCAGTGAACTGTGCAATATTTCCCCTATTCACGTCATTAAGTCATTGTCACAGTATGCACGGCTGTGTCGAGTATGGCGACCTGACTGAATACAATATGTCCATCATGACAACAAAAAAAAACGGAATATTGTTAGAAAGACGTCATTGAAACACATGAGAAAGATGCACCAGAAGATGTCTCCAGTTAGCATTAAGTGCATCGCTGCCGGCTTCTTCCACTTCAAGTATAGTCTTTGTTTTGACAGGAGAGGCTGTTTGAGTTATCCCAGTGGTTGTCACCATATTGTGCCCCCCCCCCCCATAGCCCAGAAGCACCTCTGAGCCATGAGCTGCAGCCACATTAACCACTACGCCGCAACACTCATTAAAATAACATATAGTGTCAACAGCAGTGTGGCCCCAAGTGGAAAAGCTCCGTCTCAACTTAATCCTCAGACCTGTCTTTACATCGAGCAGCATGTCTTACGGCTGCTTATGAAACTTTTTGTGTCACAGAATGTGCGATAGAATCGACCTGAAATGAGGTCCTGACTGATCTTTTTTCTCTGATCTCAAACCTCCCCTCGCTTAATTTATGACCTGTGAGGAGAAACCCAGGGAGTGAGAAGTGAGTGAGACTGGTGTGAAAGCCCTGAATAGAGCAGGGGCAACAGGCCCTCCAAATAACACAAAAGAGGCACCACAGCTGTTTGAGAGGCAACACAAGCCTTCACCAGGCACTGTCTTCTGCACGGAGCTCCCACTCACGCTGACTCTGTGAGCCGAGCTGTGTCAGTATGAATACTGTAACACAATCATCACGTTGCAGGGTAGAGAAACCTTCTGAAAGTTGTGGAAAAAGTTTCAAACAAAGACCAAATTACACCTTCTCACTGGAAGAAAACCCATCATTTTTGTCACTTATAGTTATTATCGACCTTTTAACTGTTGGACGCACTGTGACATTTGCCTTTGAATTATACGATCTTTCCATCACGCTAGCCACCGACAGAGCGATGTA